ATAAGCCATGTAACATCATTCTGGTTTTTGACTCAGTTTATTTACAAAATTTTACAGTTCATGGGACTTTATGGTTATTCATGTGTAACAAGTGTGAATTTTAAATCCATGAAGGTCAAGTGCCTACTACACAGTTTCTCATGGTAGAGTATAAAGGGTTTGACCTAAAAATGTTTAAGGCTAAAACTAAAACTATTTTTAAAAATGCATGAATTTTAGGCATTCAACCCTGGCCTCCCAGGCCTAGCATCTGAAAAAGAGCTTTGGGCCTTACTCGTCCCAGGGATTTCAAGCAGAGTCCTCGATCTGTCCGGACATCAGTCCTCTTAACCTTGACCAACAATCCATGTTGCCTTTAATTGTCATGTCTTTTTAGTCTTTTAACATCCAGAGCAGTTCTTCAGCCTTTCTTTTTCTTGATCTTGAGATTTTCGAAGGGGCCAGGCCAGTTCTGTAGATCGTCCCTTGGTTTGCACTCGTCCAGCTCCCCGTGATTGAATCAGGTAATCACTTTTGCTGGTATGCCAGGACTCCGGGCTGTGCGTGTCCCAGTTCATCAAATCACATTGTCTCCAAGCTGGTGGGATACTTTGATCATTTGGGGAAGGTGGTGCCTCCCAGATTTCTCCACTGCAAAGTTACTATTTTATGATCTATAATTAATAAGTAATTTGACTATGTAGGTATCCAATTTACCTCTATTCTGACATGAGTTTCTTACTTATTTTTTGTATTTTTATTGATTTCAGAGAGAGGAAAGGAGAGGGAGAGAGAGAGATAGAAACATCAATGATGAGAGAGCCATTGATCAGCTGCAGCCCGCAACCTGGGCATGTGCCCTGACCGGGAATTGAACCCTGATCTCCTGGATCCCAGGTCGACACTCAACCGCTGAGCCACGCCCGGACGGGCTGACATGAGTTTTTTAAATGCAAATGTAACATACTATCTATATTCTATGAAAAGAGCACATGTTTTCAACCTGGTCTTGTTTTACTGTCAGCCTGCCATACCTGGTAATCTCACACTTTGTACTTTGTCTTTAGCACCTTCTTCAGCTTCTCTAAGCAGATTATACATACATGTGGAAGCATTTGGCTGTGGAGACATAGCCATAATATAGCAGGTTTCACACTCCACAGGAGCCGTACAGCCAGGCATGCGCACACATATATATGTGTTGAATTGGATTAGGTTGCACACATTTCAGAAGATTAACTTGCAGTAATAGGCTCTGTGTTCTTGCTTTGATAGAGAAAAGACTCATTCAGCACATTTGGGGCGAGATTGACTATATCAGGTGTCACCCTTTGCTTTGGTTGATTTTATGACTGGCTTGTCTTGATGGTGGTTCTTAGGATTTGTAAAGTTTTTTTTTAGTAGACATGCTTTTATTCCTTTGTAATAGACACGTATGTTTCATTTGCAGTTCCCACATTCAAAGTAGAACAGTGCTATGAAATGGCACCGCTGTTTGATTTTACTGAAGAGAGTTTTCCCTGAAGTTTGGTGGGCGCACAGAGACAAGGGAGCAAGCCTGGTGTATAAATTCTTTGAACAGCAACACAGAGAGCCTCACTACCCTTCTGAGAGGGTTGCAGATTAAATGGGTGCTGCCTGGGAGCTTGCAGCCAGCACCGACACACCCAGTAGTGTACACCCAAAAGTGAGAGGAGAAGGGGCCCTGGGCTTATAACTGAGGTTTTATGTGTAACTTCAAGGAGGGTAAAGGAATATTTGACTTGGATAAATTCTAACATCAGAGCAGCGATTCTAAAATAGAAGTGAATTAGGGAAGCTTGGAGGAAGAGGTGGTAATTTTTCGTCCTTATGAGACAGAGAATAAAATAGAGAATAGGTAATAGGTAGATATGATGCTTAGAAAATGCTGTCACATAGGCAAGTATTGCACACTCGAGGGAAAGCGCACCACGCATAATGCATAGTTAGTTTCAGATATTTTTTAGAGTTGAATGATGTTCAGTTTTTAATTGAACAAGGATGCTTAGCTGTCTTAAATGTTTTGAACTCAACAGAGAAAAGCATTTAAAATGGTCTAGCAAATGTTAAAAATAAAAAGGGAAAACTTACA